GGTGGCACGGTGGTGCAAAACTCGCAAAATAATTGCCCACAAATCTGAGCGTAATGATCGCTTCATGATTGCGCATGCAAAAGCATGTGGAGTGTCTCTGCCCCTAATGCAGATGGATGTAACCCGAAGCTCGCACTTGTCACAACAAAGCCTCACTTGCACGCACCTTATCACTGCGGTTGTGAAATCTGTGCGAGCCTCAATGTTTTCAGACCCAAAGCCAGATAACTTCAAATAACGAACATGGCAAACTCGACAATGTACTGGGTGAGTCTCTCCCTCTGTTTGGTGCGACATTGGCGGCTGATATGGCAATGTGGAATTTCCACCGTTGGCCGAGCCAACGATTTCTTGAGAAGGACGATGCGTTGACTTTGCTTTGACCGGATCAATTAACAAATTGCTCTTCTTAAAACAAAACATCTCTTGAAACGTAATTCCAAGTACGGATGTTGTTATCGGTAAAGTTTCTGGCCAGGTGCCAGCTCAGCCCATCATTCCTCCTGGATCGATACAACGAGCAACACGTTGTCGGAAGTCCATGGCAGGTGTCACATGGGAATGTGGAATTTCCACAACTGTCCGAGAGCTCATCTTCTTGGTTCTTTCGGTAAAGTCACGTAGAAGGGAAATGATAAAATAATAAAAATAAAACATAATAAAACACAATTGTATTTTATTATGTTTTATTTTTATTGTATTTTATTATGGTTTATTTTTATTATTTCCCTTCTACGTGACCAAGAAGATTAATCCCTGCAGTCACGAAAGTTTTAAATCAAAATTTGGCCGAGAGCTGCCAATGGAGAAGGCCCCATCCCATGCTGTGCTTGAGCAGCGATTGATTTTAAAAAATAATTTAACCAAATTCAAAGGTCAAACAGTCCACCTGCTCACGTCATTGTTGGGCAGTACTCACATCCATTGGCATGTTTGAGCCAGTGGTGGAAACTCCACATTACTGTTCCTGGGCCAGTGTCTCCATGAAAACAACATTGGTACGAATTGGTCTGTATTTCATTCACCCCAAATGTATGATGATGGGGTACATTGACCCCTGACTCAATTTTTGTGAATTGAGTGCTCAAACTCCAACGGCACCGGCCTAGATTATTCAAGATATAAATATCATTTAATATTTGTCGACTGAAATTATTCACTGTTGAAGCCTATTCGAACGATTTTATTTAGTTCATCTACTGCCTCTAAACATTAACACCGATACCCAGATCTCATCTCGCATGTCGGTATCCATTTAACAGGACGAGTCTCGCTGAAACACTCGCTGGGTGAGCCTCGCTGAAACGCTCGCTGGGTGAGCCTCGCTGAAACGCTCGCTGGGTGAGCCTCGTTGAAACACTCGCTAGGGTTTGTGCTCACTTGATCCGACGTGCATCACTCCGCGTGATCGCAACATTTTTTTAAATTCATGAGCGCGGATTCACAGGGCCATGAATATTTAATTAACACTTTATGATTACGCGCCGGCACACAATTATAACGTACGCTAAGTAAGGTACAAAAACACGTTGAAATATTAACGCGAGTTTTTTTTTTTTTACATATATATTGGGAAGGCTACAAATGAAATTAAAAGTTTTACTCGCAAAAAAAAGCCACGAGGGTTTTTTGTTGTTCCTCGTTATCGTTCACGATGCGGATGAAATTATCAAATAAATTAATCATGGTCTGTTATCTAGGTTTACTATTTGTATGAGATTCACTACAAATGATAGCTGCAGGGGTTTTGGTACCGACCTGCTTTGTTTATGGAATCTGTCATTGACGCCATCGTTGTCTTACTTACATGAGGCCCTTCTCACAATCAAAACACTGATGGGGCCAAGATGGCAATCTGCTCCCTTAGCCTCGCTAGGATATTACCTGGTTCGTAAACTCACCTACCCACTCGCCACCCACCCACCACTCACCTACCCACTCGCCACCCACCCACCACTCACCTACCCACTCGCCACCCACCCACCACTCACCTACCCACTCACCACCCACCCTCTCACCACTCACCTACCCACTCGCCACCCACCCACCACTCACCTACCCACTCGCCACCCACCCACCACTCACCTACCCACTCGCCACCCACCCACCCACCACTCACCTACCCACTCGCCACCCACCCACCACTCACCTACCCACTCGCCACCCACCCACCCACCCACCACTCACCTACCCACTCGCCACCCACCCACCACTCACCCACCCACCGAGAACAGCGTCTGACAGCAGTGTTCGCTGAGAGAGGTGAGGAAGAGACAGATCATTGATGAGAGTGTGGCTGTACCAACGACCGTCATAGTAGCAGTAACAGAGAGACGAGAAGGAGACATGTCAAGGTGGGGGGGGTGGTAGTGGCTGTCGTCAATTGTTAACCATTGTATAACAATCGGGTGAACAATATTGCGCTCGATTCTATCAGAGCTAGATAACGACCACGATTTCCACTACGACAGCACTGGGAGAGTTGGAGGGAGACAACCAGGTTACTGCGGGGCACACGGACCCGTCCACGCAGACAGACAAACACTGTTCCATGTCCAAAAAACGTTATAGTCATCACCCATTGTCTATCCACTGCTAGATGAAGGCATCCCCATTCTCCACCATCCTGTAATGACGCAGTCCATCTCACTCCTGCACCCAATCTGACCTCGTCGCTCCATCTCCACTGCGGTCGTTGCATTGGGCGCCATTCCATTACTAGTCTGGTCCATTGACCATCGTGCCTTCTAGCCACGTGTCTTGCCCAAGCCCACTAAACTTCCCTTCACAGCCAATAGCATGCCTCTGATCCCCGTGCTACTAATCCAGTCTCTCAGTGACATTCCTAGCGTGTATCTCTCCACGCTTCCATTTGCAATTTTGACCTTTTTTTGTGTTCCAGTTTCTGCCTCGTTTTTTTGTCCCTTATGCGGACAACGCGATTGGAGGTGCTCTATTCGGACACGCTCTTCACGCTGCCGCAGCATTGTCCAAACGCAGCCCGCCCAAACGGAACACCGTTCCGCTGTCGACGGCCTCTGGACCTCTGCGTCTGAATCCAGGTGGCCTCGACGAGGGCGGAGCTAATGACGTCACACCGCGCGCGCGCGCGGCACTCCCCCCTCCGACGGGAGGAGGCGAATGGAAACGGCACGGCAACGATATTTTCCTCGGCGAATTGTTTTTCCTGCGTATCGATCCCGGGTCACGCCATCGTCGCCGAGTGGAGTTGGATTTTTTTTTTCTTTTTTTTCCTTTCCCCCTCCCCCCTGCTATCGCCAGCAAATTGAGCTCACACGAAGGAATTGTACAAATTGATCGCTCTAAACGGATTATGATTTGCCCAGAGACGCGCGGACCCGGCGAGTCTGCGCGGCGTCGCCGCGGGGCGTGGAGCCGCTGCGCACCACGAGGCGTCTGCGTCGTGCGGAGCTTCCGAGCGCCTACCACCACCCCCCTCCGCCCCCCTCCAGGGAGCCGGTTTGCGCGAGCACCGAGAGTTCGATTCCTAGACACGGCCGCACGCAGGCCGATTTGGTACGGACCGTCCCCTTCCACCCCCCACCCACCTAAATTAAATCGCTCGAACTACGAGGGCCCAGAGAGGCGTCTCGGACAGCGACGTGAGCGCGCCCCGAACCTTTGAGCCACGCTGCGGAACGGCGCATTCTTATGCGGCTCGCGTTTTTTATTTTTTTTTGCTGAGCGCACGCACGTGACGTTCCTTCGCCCCGCGAACTTTTAACGCCACCGCCGCCAAATCTCCGACAGGTGGGCGGAGATTATTCCCGCTCGGTGCCGGCGGCGCACCGAGACGAACGATGGGTGTGGGGCGAGTGAGCGGGGGGGGCGGGGGGGGCTGCGATTGCATCCACCTCGAACGCCGAGTGGGCGACGGTCTCAGCGCGTCGCCACGAGACAGCCCGCGTCGCCCTCGCCCATCGCTCACACCTGCCACGCATCTGCGTTGCGCAACGCAGCGCCCCGCACGTGAGAGCACATAGACACCTGCGCGTGTCGTCGCGTGCGTTTTGCGAATGCGGGGAGTGGCGGCGCAGTGATCGGCGATGCCCGCTGCACCCCTCCGTGCGCTGCGCTCGCTGACAGCGCTTCTCCCGACAGTCGGTGTAGGCTACTTTATTCGAGGGCCCTTTAGTGTTTGTTACGGGCGTGTTAATTGAGGAGGTTTTGTTCACGAGCATCCATTAATGGGTGGCGTGGCACGCACGCGCACAAAACGACAGTGACAAGTGCTGGACGAGCTATCGTGAGCCGCCCCTGGGTGCAAAGCGATCGTGGGTTACAATTCGTTGGCATTGGTGATAGGTAGACACTAGGGATCGTTGTTTCAATTGCTATGTAAACCTGGCCTGGGCATCCTCTAGGCTGACTCAGACCACAATGAGAACTTGTTACAATACATCACCATCTAGGGAGACAGAGACGGCCTTTGTTCGATGCATATAAGCAGCAGCCTTGCACCTGTTGGCTCGGACAATGGGACGCGGACAAGGTGTAGGAGCCGGGAGGGTGAGTGATTTGACGATTTGAGTCTCAGAATGGAGCTCGCGTTGCCCCGGGATTGGTCACCGCCAGCAGCAGCAGGAGGAGGAGTTGGCAAGACGAGCGGAAAGAGTTGAGGAAAAGGGAGAGAGAGCGAGAGTGCAAGTGAAGGTGCGCAGCTCCGAGGGTTCGTCTGCTGCTCTTCGTATCGCAGCTCGGGTCTCACGGTCGGGCGGTCGTGGGTTCCATCGCGGTCAGCCCGTCATGATCATCATCATCATCATGGCCATCATCATCACCGTCGTCATTACCGTCATCATCGCCATCATCATCGCCGTCATCAACGGTCGCTTCCATTCATCCATGAATTGGAATAAACGATCGAGCGTTCAATCTGCATTCAACTTAACCACGCCTTTCACGTAGCGGGGCTCAACAGCATCGTCGTCAAGCGCGAGACCGAGCGACCGCGGCCGCGGGAGCCGCACGGCGCTCACCGGTGACGAGGGGGTACGACTGCGCCGCCATCTCCGGGGTGCCCGGCCCCACCATCCCAGACTTCACGTCGTCCATGCCGGCTCCCAGGGCCGATAGAGGAGGGTACTCGGTTCCCTGGGGGCACGTGCGCACAGGCGAAACACGGACAGTCGTTAATCGAAGTCAAGAAGGCACAAGAGGTTCACATTTTATACAAAGTGGACAAAACTCTCGGTTCAGCACGAGCCAGAACAGGCGATCGCTGCCGCGCGACGCGGACCCGCAGAGCCTCGCCCGCTCTCACACCGCCGGAAACTCCACGATCCCAAGTCGGGGACCGCTGGCCGGAGAGAGACCGGGCCAGCGGAGGAATTGAACTCGGGTTCTCGGCTGCCTCTGGCTCGGCGCTTCAACGCCACGAGGTCACCGGTTCTCCGAGCGCCTTCAGTCGACCTCCGAGTGCCGTTGCCGTGTTGACGGCGGGGAGGCTGCGCACACTCGCCCGGCCTCAAGTTGTGTGAGCAGCCCCCTCGCCGTCTTTGTTTAATCAGCAATTTAGCCCGCGGGAGCGCAAGCAGCGCCGGGGCTCCCACAGGGAGGGGGGGGGGCGGGGGGGGGAGGTTAAACTACCGCCACCTCCGACTCGACGTCTGGGGCCAGGGATGAGTCCTGGTGTGAGGAGCGGTGGGTGCAGCGGTTAGCGCTTCGCTGCGAACCCGGCGGACTCGAGTTCGATTCCCGCTCGCGGTCACCAACTGCGGTGACGATCATCTGAAGCGGTCTAGGGCCTCCCCTCGGTCAACTCGGCCTCCAAAATGAGTGCCTGGTGCGGCGTGTAAGCATCGCTACTGGGGAGACAAAGGTGGTCGGGCGTGGTGCCGGCCACCCATCCACCCCCTCGTGTACTTTTGCGGCCTTCATAGGTGCTCGCTAACAGCACTTGCCCCTACGGTCTGTTAAAGGCTATACGGGGGTATTTCGCTTTGTCGTTCTAGTTTGCGAGACCTCAGTGGGTCGTCGACAGGTCAACGTGACCAACGACGTTGATGCCGCCTGCTATAAACCCACAGCCGCTGCAGAGTCAACACCCACATCTCTCTTTAAAGAGTCTTACCACCACCACCACAACCTGGACCAGAGGCGTTTTCTTCATGACATTATCCAAGCAACCATTCAAGGGCAGCCGTGACAGAGTCGCGAGACCGCCGCCATCCGGAGGGCTCACCCCTTTGGTCGCCGGATTCGTGAGAGGCCAGATTAGCAATCGCAAACAACTCGGTGTCCAGGTGGCACACTGTAACACGGGTTGCTGTTTTGTTGGGGTTAGATCGCGTAAATAATAAATGTGTAGTTAAACCCGCCACCACCCGACACAGCCAACTAGTAAGGTTCGTCAATTGGCCATGTCAGGTGGTGGCAGGTTTCACGACAAATTTCTATTTACGCGATCTAACCCCAACAACAACAAACAAAAAAACCCGTTTTCTGGATGACAGTGGTCTTGAAAGCCCACTCCGTGTTAAAGTGGCGCACCGTGCCGAGAGACTGCGCGCCCCGGCAGGGGAGCGGCCCAGCGCACAGGTGCACGCATTCCGCGCCACCACGCCCGCCCCTCACACGTTTATGTGGCAGCATAAGAGCATCGGGCTGGATGCGCGCGTACGCACGCACACGTAAATATAAATGTGTCGTTAAACCCGCCACACACACGCGCACTCGTAAAAACGACAAACAGTTTCCGTGGCGCCTTATAAACTGGTCGGCGAGCACCTATTAAGGCCGACCACGGCGCTCAAGGGGGTGATGCGGCCAGCAAAGCGCCCAACTCCACCCCTCTGTATCCCTGGTGCTTTAGCCCACCGCGCCGGACACTCGCTTAAGGCTGAGTCGATCGAGGAGATTGTCCGAGACCGGTTCGGACATTCGCCACCGATGCAGTCAAAGTCGTGGAATCGAACTCGGCCGGCCAGGATCCGCGCCCCGACCGCAATGCCACCGCTCCGCCACGACCACTCCCTCCGCGCACCCCGCGTCCGCTGAAAACGCTGCGCCCGGAGCCGAGGGAGTCGAGCGGCGAGGATGACACGCGCTTGTTTTTTCACCCCCGAGATCCAATCGCCTGCGCTCGGGAGATCAGCGCTGAGCCCAGGGGCTGTCATCGTTTCGACGGTGGAGGGGGTGCTTCCGAGCAAATCTTCTCATCCACGGACGCTGCCGCCACCCTCCCCCCCCCCCGTGTCACGCGGGCGTGCCCGTCCGCGTGTCGCTCTTCCTAGACGCACGGGCCCCGAGCCCCCTCGCGCTCGCACTGCGCAGCGGAGAGAGCACGGCTGTCAGGGTCGCGAGTTCAAGCACCGCTCAGAGGATGGTGTAGTTTGGTGGGGGTTTATATCGACATCGGGATGGAATTGCCCCCACCATAACAATATGGAATTTCCACCACGAGCTTGGGACCAGCAATATAGATCAGCACTCTGTGTGTGCTGTTTGCGTGGCATAGGTGTGTGCGTGTGCATGTTGCGTGCATCTGTGTGGTGCATATGTGCCTGTCATGTCTACATACGCATGGGGTGTTTGTGTGTTTTTGGTATGTGAAGTTTGTGACCCATGTGTAGTATACGTGCTGTATTTGTGTGTTCATATGCAATGCTGTGTGTATGCTCCGTGCGATGTGTATGCTATGCGGTGGCTATGCTCTGTGCGGTGTGTATGCTATGCCGTGTGTATGCTATGCTGTGTGTGTCCTATGCGGTGTCTACGCTATGCGGTGTGTATGCCATGCTATTTCTATGCTATGCTGTGTGCAATGCGCCTCCCGTTTTGCCATTGTGTGCATGCTGTCCTGGCGCGCATGCTATTTTCCACTTGCCATTCCGTGCGCGCGCTGTGCGGCGCGTGAACGCTGTGCGTGCGCGCAGTGCCCCGACGCACGGTCGCACAGCCGTCGTGTAGCGGGGAACAGCTGACAAATGGGGGAGCCAAGGGTCAGGGGGTCAAGTGGCAGGAGGAGAGGTGGGGTGGGGTGGAGGGGGGCGAGTAGGGGGAGGGGGGGTGATAGAGGGGGGCCCAGAGGCACCGCCAGTTAAGCTAATCCCACTGCCCTGTGGCGCCACGATCGCCCCTTCACTGATTTATCACTTGATTAATTCGAGGGGACGGAGAGGAAATGAAAATGAACTCAATTAGGCAGTGGTCTCTGCCACAAAGGGTTTAAGTGTGCGGGCTGGGGAGTAATTACTAGACCCCCGTGCTTAATAGCCTGACGAAAGTAAATAAAGGTTACCGCTGGTAATACGCACTTTCAGCGATAAAGTTACAAGGCAAGGCAACTCGATTTCATTGTCCCCTGGTATTAATCTTGCCCGTACGGGGCCCGTGGGGTTGAGAGGTGCACGGAAAACACTACAACAATATCGAGACGATAAATCTTCATGAGAGAGCTTCATCTCGACGGAAAATGCGCTTTAATTGCGCCGAAATCAGAGCGAGTTTTGAATGTGTGTTTAACTGGGGGGGGGGGAGGGGGGTTCTTTCAATTTATACCGCGCCACGTTTAACCACACCTTTATCCCCCCTCTCTTCTCTCTCTACTCTGTTCCTTCCGTGTAAAATTTTACGGCCGAGGGCTTATAAAGGTCATGAAATATCTCAATGACTTCAGTGCGAGGGGTTTTTTTTATCATCATCGCTCGCTAAAACTTTCCCCGGCGAAATTAAAACAAAAAAAAGTAAAATCAGGTGGAAGGCGACGCGCACAATGCCTGCGACGCAGCGCTCTCGCGTAAAGTATTTTGGCCTTTCGCCGGAACGACTATCTCGACTCTCTCGCACGTTATCTGCGTCTGCGCTGCCACTTTTAAAGGTTTCTCCAGCCTTTGGGGATATCTATCGCACCCGCCGCCACCTCCGCCGCCCAAGCTCGAAACGTTTGGCGCGGCTTTGCCATCGCTCCGGGTGATGCGCAGATTTGAATCCCGGGGACTCGCCGGCTATCGCGATGTGCCGCTCGTGTCAAACGCAGCCGCTGTCCCGATCCGCGGCCTCCGAATACCGATCGGTGTACGCGTGTTCGCTGTCCTCGTATCGAATGCTACTGTATGAAGATATTGGATTCTTGTTGATCGATTGAGCCATCATTTGTGGCCAGGTCGCATCTGGAAAAAAACAATAAGCTAATCGCTCAGTGGGCTTTACATGGTAAAATAAATAAACATCGTTGTTTTTGCATATTTTTTTCGTACTTTTCCGACACTCTGCACTCCTACCGCATTCTCGTTGTGTTGTTTGTTGTTGTAACGTTATGACCCTGTGCGCACACTGGAAATCAAAAATATGTAAGTCTGCTTTGAGAATCAATTTCTTGCAAGTGGCCTTCCCTCTTTCAGCTTTGTCGCTTGCCCCCTGATTCTGTTTTTGTTTCCCTGCTTCCCATGCAATGCGCACTGGGATCCTAGGATGAGATGCGCATTACAAATTTGAATGATTATTACCATCGGATTCCTCGAGTATAAATACAGATTCCAATGCTGTCCGTTAACACAGAGTTCCCTCTGCCGTGATGTCGAATACGCACAGGCTGATGTCGCCTATTTGCATTCCGTAGTAATTTTAATCTATCAAGATTATTACCTAACACGTGTGAACGAAAGCAGCTCATTGACTTGTACTTTCTAATGTTGTAGATGGGGTAGGAAGATACATTTTGGCACAATTTATAATACTATTATTATGTGGGCTCAGTAAGCAGAACAATTATAATATTTTTTTTAATTATCGAGGTCACAAATTTTTGTTTAACGTATTTTGTTGAATTTGTAAGTTTTAGAGGATGCTCAATTCCAATAAACAATCTGAATCTACAAGCCACCAAAAGGAAAGTTTTCGAGTTCAGGTCCATCACAATTGGGGGACGAAAATGTCGAAGTGTTTGTGGGTGTTTTCAACCGGGGCCTACAAAAGTTATTATGATTATTTCTGTAAGAGTTGAGGGTCCTGGAGCTAAACATAAAATTAGATTAATTCCATTTTTGGAGCACGTCTTGAAAAAAAAATGTGACGCAAAAGCTCCAATCCAGTGGGCAATGTCCACTAACTATCTATGAACTATTTTTATTTTAGCAGGTAAGGCCCACTCAGCTATGTAGAAGCTGTTTTTCAGAAGCGACCAAGCTATCACAAATGATAGCTCAACAAAGTGGCTTATCACATGGAAATGTGTAGCACGTTAATTCTAAATGTGGAGGAAAAACCGGAGGCCCTGGAGAAAAATCCACGTGACCACGGGGATCGAGAGACACGCACACTCCAAATATACAACAGGCGTCTGGGTGGGGATCGAACCCACGACCTCCTGTATACCAGGCGAGGTAGTTAACATCTCCTAGCCACAGCGGTGTGGCACCCACTGTGGAACCACCCTGCCCACGCTGGAGGTCAACACAGCCGGTGCTCACAGGCACAATGCCGCACAGAGACAGGCGAATCAATGTTCGGCGCATTGATCGATGCAGAGCATCTGTAGCAGCCACAGTCAAAGGGAGCAACGAGTTTAGTGAGCGTGAGAGGAAAACCTAGAGGTGAGAGAGGGAGGTGAGAGAGGGAGGTGAGAGTGGGGGAGAGGGAAAGAGGGGCGAATGAGAGGTGACAGGGGTGAGAGGTGAGGAAGAGGTGAGAGGGTGATAGGAGGATTCCACGGTACCGGACCAGGCCCTTTGACTTGTCGCACAACCTGAGTGTTAGCGAGTGTGTGAGTGGGGCCTCAAGGTGCACATGGCCTGGCACAAGCGTCGTGGTGACGTCACCGCCACTTAGTGGCGAATGGCGGTTGTTGTTGAGTGGGGCGAGTGTGAGCAGGCCAGCGGGCGGGTAAGCGTGCGTTGAGGGCGAGCGGGCGGACGGGCGGGCGTTATGCGAGCAAGTGTGAGCGAGTGGCCGGCCGAGTGGCCGAGTGGCCGAGCTGGCCGAGCGGCCGAGCTGGCCGATGCGGTGCCGAGCAGGGCGTGCGGTGCGAGCGGGGCGAGGGTACCTGCTCGGGCTTGCCGTGCTCGGCGAACACCTCGGCGTAGTGCTGCCGCTCGAACGCGCGCTCCAGCGCCTCCAGCTGCTGCTGCGCGAAGGCGTCGGAGCGCAGCTGCTTGCGCACCGCGTCGCTGCTCACGGGGGAGTCGCCCGCCTGCACGGGGCTCACCACGTCTGGTTCGCAAGGCACACACAGGACGAGCGCGGTCAGCCACGGCGCAACGCAACGGTGCGAAGACCACGGAACCGAACGTGGTTTGGCACGCGGCGCGATGAATGCGACGCGCTGCGATGCCGGCGGTCGAATGCAATGAAGCAATGCGTTGCAATGCGATAACCTCCGATGCAATGGCACGCAGTGCAATGTGATGCACTGCAACAGGCAGCCAGGCTGGTAGGGAGCGCCTCTCGTCTTTAAACAAGATAACTGACTGAAGCAAGCCTAACCCCAACCGATGTGACATTGTGCGTCGAAACTGGTCCAGAGTTTGACCTGTCTTAAATCAATCCGTGCCGAATGGATGCACTCGCAGAAGGCCTGCGCGATGCTGATGGGCTGCGTGAGACAAACTTGGACGTTCACGTGGAGCGACGGGCGCACGTGTGCAGGAGACGTGCGCCGTCCGCTCATCGCTTTCGTCGTCGACAAACAGAGGCGAGAGCGCGGAGAGACAACGGACGGATCTCCTCCGCTAGCGAAGCCAGAGCATCGTTATCAGTGACCGCGTGTCTACGCAGGCGGCGGGGGGGGAAACACAGGTACCACTCGCTCTGCGTCTCGACAACTTTGAGACTTGGGACCAAGACAACCGGGGGACTTGGTGCCGCCAGCACCGCCGGGGGTTCTGGGCTCGAGCAGAGCACACGGGAAGCGGGCGACCGCGCGCCCGTTTGTCACGAGCCGCCCGAGAGCACGAGAATGTTTAAGTCGCGTTTGTTTGTCGTTGAGTGAAGTTTCGTTTAGACACCGAGCGTGCGAGCGGAGGCACCGGCAGCGAGCGAACGCAAGGGTTGTGTCTGCGCGACGAGCCCAGCGAACTGGAGCAGGCGGCGGTGACAGAAGCGGAACAAATGAAGACATTACAAAGCAATTAGGGCAGAGAATATTTCACCCGGAAAAAAATAAATTACAGAAGAAGAAAAAAAAAAGAACCCTCGGCAAAAAAGCTAAATTATGCCACCAGCGCTCGCGCCGAATGCGGAGAAGAGTGATTTCCAGGGCCGAGCCGCGGAGAGAACTGTACAGGGTTGGGGCGCCGGGGAGATGGATTGAGCCGGGCTGCGGGGCTCCCGGGAAGAGAGCGGTGAGAGTGAACGCCGGCTGCAGTGCGGCGCAGACTGCAGTGCGGGGCAGAGGAAGACACAGCTGAGGATAAGAAGGGAGACGCTGTTCCGCTTCATAGTGTTTGCGTATGGATGGCTGTGAATTACTCGGCACCGTATATAAAAGGCCAATGGTTTTCCACACTCAAAGTGGCGCCTTATTTTATCGGCCCAGGAGGGATGGTGAGCCGAGTCAATTCAACGGCTAGAAACTTTACTCACGTTCTTGGGCATCACCTTGGTTGACGCAAACTCAGCTATCTCGTGTGGTGTGTGAACCACAGCCAGAGAGTTACAAAGGCGGTCAGGCAGATCGCCGGCCACCCCCACCCCATCACGCGTCATGCCGGTCTTAACAGGTGCTCGCTGCTTGCCACTGCGCCCGATGCTCCACGATGAAAGATCTTTGTCTTTGTGTTCATGTCCACAAACGTGTGCTCATTCACGACCACAAAGACAAAGATTCCCCACTCCCCTCCCCCCCAATAGCCTGAACAGACTGTTGGGGCAAGTGCTGTTAGCGAGCACCTATGAAGGCCGGCAAGGCACACGAGGGGGTGGCTTGCCAGCACTACGCCCGGCCGCCTTTGTCTCCCCAGTGGAGTAGCGATGTTTGCACACCGCACCAGGTACTCATTTGAGGATGAGTCGACCTAGCGGAGGCCCAGGACCGGTTCAGATAATCGTCACCGATTTTGGCCGTGAGCGGGAATTGAACTCGGGCCGCCGGGTTCGTAGCGCAGTGCCCTCACCGCTGCACCGCCGCTCCCCACGACCACAGACACACGCACAAGCGCGCGGAAAGGCACGTGCACCGTGGGCTTGTTTACAATGGCGGGGACCGCAGTAAGATTCCCCTATGGGGGACGAACATAAAATAATTAGAGAGCGGCGTGCGATGAGGTGCCGCGTCTGACAATAAACGTGATTCATGGAGATGATAGTGGCGATGTCAGCGATAATATCGCATCGTCAAAGTCAAAGTGACTCCCCCCCCCCCCCCCCCGGCTCAAACGAGCCGTGTGTGATGTTCATCTCAGTTTATGGCCCTGCGGCAATGGTGGAAATTCCACATTCTTATGACAGGACTGAGTTAATCCATACAATGACGGCTTTATACCTTTATCGACCCTTGAGAGATGATGGGTTGAGCCTCCCTTATAATTGCGACCTGCTCGCGCTAAGCACTGCGTCGTCACCCAGCTGGGTAACGTCTCTCGTGTTATCGATACAATAAGCGTGCTGCCCAGTGCTGCCAATAGTGCAAACTATGGGACACGCACAAACACGCGCACACGAATAACCCAGCTTATCCGTCTGTGTGTGTTGTCATCATGACAGCAATGCATCTACAAGAATGGCACACCAAGGCATATCGCTACAGTGCTCTCTCTTTTTAGGAAGATCATCGATTTATCTCAAATGTGCAATTTTAATGGGACGTGTCATCAGCAGTGCGCGCTCGCCGCTGTGACGCACGGTTCGGTCACAAAAGAAATGCCACGGAAAGCTCAAAAGTGTGCAAAGACCACGAATAATTGCATGCTGGGAATGGCATTGAGACGTAAAAGAGGAAGCCGTGGACGAGAGCACATAGTCGGGTCATTTGACGTAAGTTCGTCCGTGCAGAAAGTTCAGCAGGCTCGGGCAGGATACGTTGGAAGAAGGGACGGTGGACGATGGTCAAGAATAATAGCGGATCGGCTGCCGAGGGACGGAACGTGTCCCGGGAGGACGTCGACCGGGGAGATGGAGCGACCATTCAAATATGTAAATGAGGGGAAAACCCTGGCACGACAAATGGAGCAATGGAATCGGCTCGTGTGCTGGTGATAGGTGGACTGTCACAGCGTCGTGCAATTATGGCAATTGCTTGGGGGAAGCAGTGGATGGATCATGGCTAATGATGATTATGGTGAGGAGCGAAATTTGCTTCTGGAACTCCTACAGCCGTGCAAGCAATCGCTGCATCGCCCTGGGGAATGGCCCTTGTGGTGTCCCTTCAAGGAGTTAACTCTAGCTGGCCTTTGGACAGACTGCACCTGGAAATAGGAATGTGGAATTTGCATCACTTGATAAAGGCTGCCAATTCAAACGAGCACCAACCAGTACTTGCTTGGCCACAGACAGGCTGACTTGACTTTTTTTTTACTTAAATTATGCACTTATAGGGAATCTCCCGTAATGCTCGACACAACATATGAATGTTTCAAAGGTATTTTAACGATTCATCAACTCCAGAAATAGCGGCTATTATTTTCTTTTTTTCCTGCAGTAAAACAATGATTAACCCGAATGAATTCCCATCATTTTCACAATCCGTAGCGGGAGCGCGCACAAAACCGGGCGCGCTCTCCGCTCGTAGAATTAAGGCCGCCACCATCGCCGCTCATCAATCTCTGATAAATGAAAGGCTTTTTCCCACCTTAACTTTCAATCTGGTATAAAACACCATCATTTAAATCAAATCCAAAAAGGTTAAAAGCATTTTAAGTCTTACATGACCACTAACTGTCTCATGACTTCAAAACAGTAAATCACATCTCGCTCCAACCCTAAGCTTGTTCTCATATTTTTCTCTGCGTGCGTTGCAGGGATTTCCTGCCTATGATCCGTTATTAACTCCAAAACAAAATGTTTTTCTCTTCCATCTTGTGGATTTGGCTGCCCTTTCCCCAGAGTTCAGCGAAACATGGCAACTTTAAAGTCTCGCAATCAGACTCTCTATATTAAAAAGCCACAGTCCTGGCTCTGAATCACTCATATATCAGTTTATGTCACCATGCGAGGTGTCACTCTAAATTTACGGGCGGTTAGATTCGCCGGGACTTACGATCCCCGGTCGCTATCGATCGCTCAATTTCGCCGGCCTGGAGGCGGCCGAAATGAAGCTGGAATGAACAGCCGCGTGGCAACTCATCGCGCCCATAATATCCCACTTAATCCAGCGCTTTTGTGGGCAGATGGAGTCGCATTGATCTGCCCTGTAACGTTGATCGCGCTGCTGGGACACGCGCTGTCCCCTTCATCGCGAGGGATTGACCCGGTGGCCGCCCGCGACCCGGGCACGCCGGGGACCGCACGGTCGCGCCTCCCCAACCCCCACCCCTTTCCTCTCCCCCCCCCCCCACTCACCTCTCTCCCGTCCCCCCATCTCCGAGTCCCTGAGCTTCAGCCTGGCCCCTGAGCTTCAGTCTTGCCCCGATAGCCCAGACCTGAAACTCGCCCCAAGGCCTGCACTGAGCCTAGCGCTTGGTCCCTCCCTCAAGCCCGGTCACTAATCCTGCTTACACCACAACTCCCAACTCCAGGCTGATTCTGAGGCCTGCACCAAACCTGCCCCTTAGTCCCGCCCAAAACGCAGCCAACCACCCGACGCTAACCCTAAGGCATACCTACACTAAACCGGCCTGACTCTTAGACCTGCTCGGCACATCGCCATCCACCCAGCCGATGGTTGAATCAGAGCTCTAAGGTCTAAGCCAAGCTCCTTCAGCGTGGCTATTAAGCCAGCCCCACAGCTGAGGCTTAAGGCTGCCTCCGAGGCCTGCACTAGCCTGTGCCCTTTTGAGCAAAATTGGAAACAAAGGGCAACTATCACTTGACCCGAATCAATGTTCAAGCCTCACCCTGAGGCATACAACAATGTGTTTTTTTGGTTTGTTGCAGATACGGCAATCTAGCTTTCGAAAAAAAAAATGCTGCGTCCACGTTCAAACGAACATTTGGGGAGAGCTCATCTATTTTGGGGACCCGAAGCCATGGTGGAAATTCCATGTTGCTATGTTCGGACCAGTTTCGCCATAGATTGGCTACTATATACTTTCCACAAAGTGGTACCAATTGTATAT